GCATACTAAAAATGGCAAGTTCAGCTTTATGGAGAACATTTTCTTCTATCAACAGTTGTTAGCAAATGGCAGAAAAGTAATAATCTATGTGTGGTCAAACTGACTCTGTACGTTAGTTTTACAAACATATAAATATTTAAACATAAGACAGGACCATGGTGTCTATTACTTGCACATTAATGCCAAAGAAAACTCCCCAAGGACACTGTCCTATGGACACTAGATGCTGTCTAGCATTTGGAGGCTTACAGGCAGCCACTTCAGATGGCATCCTAACATTTTTATGATTAATTTTGTAGAGTCCCCTTACTATGCTAATATTAACACCTGCTGATGTTAGCAGTCACTGTTAGACTCTTCCAGCATCGTGCATAATCTTTCAGCATATTCTGCCAAACACATGGGCACAAGTCACAGTCTGACATCATTTTTCTTTGCTATTAGAAGCTGATACAGGTAGAAATGGTCTACTTCCATGATATGGGCACTGGAAGCACTGTGTGATCCCACAACCTGTGTCACTTTCTGAAAGTAACACTGGATGACACTTGCTCAGCTCCTTGACAACTAGGGGACCATCTTATCTGCAATATTGTGTAACAACTATATGAAGCTACTGGGAGTAGTCATGAGTGGATTTGGAGCAGGTGGCGTCAGTATGCTAATAATACAAAACTGGCATCTGATCAGATGAGACACAAAGCTCTGTGAGTCTATGATCAGCACCTGGACTCAGTAATGGGCTGGATGCAGGCCAATAAACTAAAGTTCCAGTTTGGCAAGATGGAGGACCTGCTGGAAAGTGGCTCCTGTATTCAGAAAATGAGCTACTGCCTGCTCTGTGCAGCACACCCTGCTTAGGATAGCTGCAGCTCTCCCTCTGTTTCTGGAGGCCCAAGTGGTCCTGATGGATCAAAACACCTTCCACCAGCTTCAGCTGGTATGCAAGTTATGCACTTCTGGATAGGGTTAACTTGGCCATGGTGGTATAGGTGTTAGTCACCATAGCACAGAACACCATATGGCGAGAACTGCACTGGTTGCCTGTTTGCTACTGGGTCAGTTTTTACTATCGATGTATAAAGCCCTTGGGATCAGAATCTTTCAGAGAGTGCAATTCTTCCCGATAATCCAGAAGTGCTCCTGGTCATTCTGTGTGGATCTAAGGTCCATTTAAGAATCCACTTAGCTGTTAATGTATTGTACTGGATGAAAATGTATGCCATCTCATAGAGAACATTCTCTTCGATGCATGGGCGTAGGGTATATTACTACACTTTTTGTAGGTGTACATCCCAGGTTCCTTATTTATTTCAACATACACTATCTATTACTAGCATGAAGGCTGTAATGTCTTATGCAAAAACAAAGCAATGGGCCAAAGCTAATTCTATGACATCTTAAAGATGACACTCTTCTGGAGTTCTGGAAGTGCAATTTGGGATGAATGCACACCTGCAGTTTCCTTTGTCTGCTTACACTGGAAATTGCAACTTTTGGTATGCAGTCACCATGCTTGATAATGCCCTACACTGTGAATGCATCACTTCCTGGTTGGTTGGGGCATGGCCCCTACCTCCTCCAGACGCTGGTAATCACACAGTTCTCTTTAAGCCCCCCACAGGAGCATAGCTTGTGGTGTCCAGGGCTGTCAGTGCTATCCACATCATAACTGGGAAACGAAGACACATTTTTGTATAGAGCTAAACATGAGGTGGGTAACTTGTGCCTCTCC